TCCTGCAATTAAGTTACAGACGTCCGTTCATCGCCATTTTGTGTATAGTAGTTGGCTTCTTGTTCTTACATTTGAGGGCTCTATCTTCTGTTTGTTGACCAAATTAATTAGGTGGTGCCGATAAGACTTTCTCTTCGTTTTCCTTTTTATATATGTTTGTGCTGAAGGTGTTCTGTTTGGTGGGGAGAGATGCATCAGAGCTTCAATTACTTGCACAACAATATAATCCCACAGTGATGACGCTCTTCAGCTCAACAACTGATACCATATGTCCATTGTTTAATGAGATAATTAGTTCAACTAATTATTTCTTTCATCCACTTAAGTTTCTTGCACATACAAGTTTATCTTTTCTATGATATAGCATGGCTTGTAAAAACATAGCGAACCTGAAAAGAACAATGGCTAATAATAGTCTAACTTGACCACCAACCACGAGTTCGATCAAATTAGTTTATATGGTGTATAGTTTTAGGTCAGGATGAGTATTTTAGAAACAACGGGCAAAAGTAGTCTGCAAAGTTCGGATCAATTTAAGGTATTAATCATTGAAGTTATTCTATCACGATTCAATTTTAGAAAGAAAAAAAAAGACATCAAATTATGCCATGGATCGGATGCCCCACCTAACTCAACCGATCTTCTTTAATCAACTTATTTGCATAGATGTTCGTCGAGTGTCAACGTGTGAAAGAAAGTATCATTACATTGAGAAAATTATTGATAGTGTAGGTAGATATTGTTAGCAGAACTGAGAATACCTAATTCAATACCTTCTTTACACGACACCAAACACGTGAATGAGTTGGTCAGATACTTCTATGAGTTAACCATATTCATTAGCTTAATGGATTGAAACACAATTAAGTAGGGGGGGATTCTTACCATATTTGTGCAGACTTGACACTCATCTAAGTCAAATGTATGGGGTTTATGGCCTTAACTATATACCAAAACAAACTGAAACTATTGATCACTAAATGTGAGGTTGTGGCTCATGAGAAAGAAAGAGACCTCAAGAAAGAAAGAGAGACAGTGACAAATGTAGGCGGCTAAAGGCTAAAATAAAATGTCTTTTTGGGCTTTCGCTCTCAGTAGTGCACTGAGTGAACCATGACGTAGCCAAATTAAAATGTTTGTTAAGTGCTTCTCAGTTGTTTTATATCACCTCAAAACTATTACGGAACAATTTGGATTAGTGGGCCTCGATTTTGGGCCCGGCTCGAGGCTGCATCTCACGATCCAAATCCATGGCACAAAATTTTGACTCTCGTTCCTCAAGCAAGATGAGGCAAGCAACCAAATAAACCAATGGAAACGGATGGCCCAGTTAAGAATGAATAGCAATGATTTAACTAATGTAGTCAAAATGATTTTTACATTTTCACGTCACCAAAAAAACTTAAAACGTAGTCAAGACCTATGATTTAAAGTTTACATTTTTACGTTTCTAAATCACTTTAATGCTTCTACGTAGAATCAAAATTTTGACTACATTGATTGTAACACAAACATGACCACCTGCTGCTTAACAATATGAGGTTGTGAAGTGATATAATAGGACTTGTTACCAACACAAACACCATTTTGGAGATTGCGCTATGTGTAGTATGAGATAGATTAGAGATTTGATTATAATACGTGTTGGTGAGAGTTAATATAGGATGGTAAGCCGTAAGCTATAAAATTTGCGTTTTAAACGTCCGTCCTTTTGCACTCTAGATCATGACTTCGCCGTCATTCCAACTGGATTGCTCTGCCAACTCTGTTAAAAAGAAGTGTGTTGGTAAAATAAAAATTCGCAATTATAGAGAAGTAGCAATTTTATGCTACTGATATAATATCGTAGACAACCCCATTGATCTTTAATTTTTTTATCTCTCTTCTCCCTTTTCCCAATTCGTGTACACCTTCTGAAGCACTCGTTTGGCTCCATTCAGAAGCGATCCACCTGCATATTTCTCCGGACAAAACGATTCATCTAGATAGCTGCTTCAGACCCGGCAGCCGTCGGTCTCTCCCAAAATATTGTGTTTTCTGGCGATTGAATGTTGGTTGAAGGTGAACCCTCTAGATATAGCTTTTGTTTTGTGCGAATCATTCCCCAAGAACCATAATCAACTATCGATTAGGAAAAGAGTATCCGAAAAGGATTAAGCTATGTTTGGCCTGCCTTTAACAAGTGTTTCTTATTAAAAAACGACGACAGTCGAGCCAAACACTTTTGTAAGTCCAATTTTTGCAAAAGCGAGATAGTGGTTTTTATAATATAAACTACGATTTTGAACATTTGTAAAAAACTGTTTTGAGTATACAAAAATATATTTACCATTTTGCAACCAAAAACATATATCTTCATTTATAATAGTTTGTCAGTCAAATACTCAACTGCTTCTTTTTTAAAAGTACTTTTCCTAAAGTGTTGGGTTGTGAGAGTTGACAGTGAAGAAAAGAGGATTGAAAGATGAAGTCTCAGCATTTAGATCCTTTTAAATCTGGCAATTCGATACTCGAAAGGAAACCTTAGCGAATTGCGATTTAGAATCATAAGTGCAGTTTTATATTTGACCAAACACGAAACAGTAGATACTATATGAACAACCCGCAATTCAGCCCACTAGTTTATTTAGGGGTCGTTTGGAAGTTGCGGGTGTTACTATACTTTTTTTTAATAATTAAATCAAAATAGCATTAAGAACGGGAAAACCTTTAGTAAACCGCTAAGGCTCCTCTCAGCACAAACTGTTTGTACAAAAAAAAAAAAAACCTTCAGCACAAGGAAGAAACTAACAAAAACCAACTACCCTAGCCCCCTCGACTCTAAACAGCAGAATAGAGCCAGATCTAACTGGCACCGAAAACTAAGAATCCTTTTCGCCTCCAGACAAAGCTGAACCGGATCCCTGACACTTCTTTCTCCATACATTCTTGAACAATGTTCCCGCCACACAAGGATTAACACAAAGCACCATATCATTCTATTCAAACTAGCTTCAGCCCCTTTACCCTGCCATTTAGACACACACCAATGTAACACAGACTACCAATCACCCAACTCAGGAGGGCCTGCATACTTTAAAAGAGAGGATAGCATATATCTGACACATGAACAACTCACAAACAAGTGGGATCTTGTTTCATAGCCCCCTGGACAAAGGGAACAGAGACCCGAAAGTTGTTTCCCCCACTCAATCAACTTATCCTGCATTTTCAATCTGTCATGTATAATGAGCCATAGTATAAACCCATGTCGAGGCACAATGTGCTTCCCCCAGACAAAGTCAACCCATGGGACAAGGTTTCCACGCTGTCTTACCGAGTTCCAGACTTTACTAACCGAGTAGACCTTCATTACATCACCATCCCATGTCAGAGTATCCCCAATTTGCAAAATGAATGGTCTAGCCAGTTCACGACACTTCAAAATTTGCCTCCAAATCCAAGAACCAGCAGCTGAGTTTTTAATGTCCCAAATAGAGAATTATTACTATACTTGTATTGTTTAAAATGCAGTTTGTTTTTACCACAAGGATGGTTTGGTGCGATGCACACCCCTACCTCCATCAATCGGCGGTGATCAATCTCTCCATATGGCTCTACTTGATGTCCCACTCCGCTAATAAAACGACACTTCTGTTCCCTACTACCGTTGTCCCTTCCCTTTCCCACTCTCCTAATTAACTCCCCATTTTTCCTCCTGCCTACTTCATATCATTTGTCGCCTCCCAATTTCTCATTATCCATAAACACTAAACAGACTACAACGCCAGCATGACCTGTCCCCAGACTATATTACTATTAATGCCAATCACATACAGTTCTAATTACTTGTGCTATTTCCATATACTGTACCATTTGCTGAACTATTCTAATTATGTGCTAACCTAAACTACCACTCTAAACCTTACTTAGAACCGCAAATTATTTCTAACCAAGTTTAGACGAAGAAGAGAGGGAGAAGAAAAGGAAAGGAGAGGTCAAGAAAGCTGTAGCTCTAGTTTAGCTGATTTAAGATTCAGACAGATTTTAGGTTTTCTCTTGTAAACCTGATTTTTTAGACATTTCGTTATAACATTTGAGGGATTTTGATGAGTGAATGGTGTTGTTACTGTTATCGGCCAAAGAAAGAGAATTTCGATGGCAAATTAATGATTTGAATGCATTAAAATTAATTTGTTCTAGTGATTCTGTTACCAATCTTCAATGTTATTTAAATGTCTAAAAATCGTGCATTGCTTTCGATTTTGTCACCAGTATTTGATTAAACCTATTGGCAGGCATACCACCAATTAGAGATGCCAACTTCGACGTGGCTCGTTTTATTCAACCTGTTTGGCCTGTTTTGGGGCGGGATGGACATGGGTACTCTAATCAACCTGACTTGTCCTGACCCTCCCCATTCTCGACTCGTTACTGCCTAAATTACATGTAATCTTTGTCAAATTACTTAGGTATTTTATTTTACTACATCATATTTTAGCTATAATAAAAATTATATATTAGTGAAAACCTCAACATCTCCAATAATTTAATTATATTTATAATATTATGGTTTGTTTCTTGATCTGATAATGAAAATCACAAATATTTCTAATATTTTCCATACAACTTACATATCCATTGAGTTGTGCCCCATAAAAAATTACCAAACCTATACAGAGCTAGCTATAAAACACATATAAGTATCGAGATACCCACTCGACCTGCCTATTGCCATTCTTACCACCAATTACAATTTACAACATGTCTACTAGATTACTACACATAACCATAGATTTAATTTAATTCCCATTTATCGAGGACAAAGATATGATTACTCACCTAAAGCTATAACCAACAAACCAAAGAAAATGGCCTCATTTTCACACCCTTTTCTAGGGGCCACTTTTTCTTTCTCACCCAGAAAGGAAGAGGTTCTACTTCAGATTTCACCTCTCCACTTCCAGAAAAAAATCCCAAAAAGCAAAAAAAAAAAGTAAAACTCACCCCTTCCCCTTTGTTTGCGAACAGTGATCACGCAGTACCTCCAAATCCCCGGCGCACTATTCACGATTACGCCTCCCTCCCTCTCGGCTTTCCGCCATTCCTTTTCCTCGTGTGAGAAGCTCGCTCGCGAGTTCGATTCTTTGCGCGTGAACGGAAACGGCCACGCGTTCGGCCTGCCGTCGGAGGAAATGCTGTCGGCGGGGGCGATGGCGGTTGAATGTTAGAGTAAATCGACGATGAAGGTAGTAGTGTTAGGGTTAAGAACCGATGGGAGCGGGAATGGCCAAGGAGGCGTCGAGGTTTATTAGCTCGATACCGCCGGCCAACCTGGCGCTCTTACAGCAACCGAACGGTAAAGTGAGCACCGCCACCGCCGCCGCTGGCGGAGGAGGAAAGGTTCAGAGTATTCATCATCAACAGCAGCAGCATAATGAGTGGTGCTTGTGGCGAGGGAGGTGGAGATCCTCTGCGGCACAGGGAATAATGCAGCGGAGGAAGATCCCGTGGTCGTTAATCTGCGGCTTGATGCTGTTCGCGCTCGGGATGGTTTCGCTCTTCACTGGACATATGGCCTCTGATCTCGAGTGGTACTCTCAGCGGCTGGTAAAGCGTAGCCTCTACTCCAGATTCGTAAGCTCTGCTTTCTATTAAACATTTCTCTTAATTGCGTTTCTCTGTCAGTCTCGAGAATTATGGAATTTACAGTAATCATGAAGAAGAAGAAGAAGAAGACTAAATTTGTGCTGGTGAACGTTTCTGGTAGCTGTCGTTTTCTTAGTTTTGTCGCCATTGATGTGGACATTGATTTGATTGATTTTGTAGAATGTTATTCGACGAGAACCTATCGATATTTGGAGATCCAAGTACTCGAAAATGTTCTACGGATGCAGCGAAAGAGGCCGCAAATATGCTCGTAAGTTCGCTTTCCCTTCATTTTCATACCATAAATGCACAGTGTGGACCTGTTTCAACCTCAAGAGACTCAGATGAATTGGTTTAGGGTTAAGATGGATGATTCATTTCGTTTAATTTGTGAAGTTTTAACGATTTCAGCTCCCTGAATATTTCTGTGTGTCTACGTGTAGCTGCCACATCTGAACGGAAATCTAATGGATATCTTCTTATAGCAGCAAGTGGAGGACTTAACCAAGAAAGAACAGGAGTAAGTGAAAATGTTGATTTCATTGCAATGTTATCAAGGAATTCGGTAGAAGCATTCTTAATCAGACAGTTCCTATCAAAATCTATCAGCCATGTCGTTGATTGCACTTTTATCTTCGGTTGGCTGATGAACTGCATTGCATAGTTTTGGACTTCTATGGTGGTGCTGAGAAAGTTTGTACTGTAAGCAGACCGTTGGTGACTTATTCTTTTTTTTCTCCCTCCAGATAACTGATGCTGTAGTTGTTGCGAGGTTTCTTAATGCTACACTAGTTGTTCCTGAATTGGATCACCATTCTTATTGGAAAGATGATAGGTGAGCTTGTAACTCAGCAATTCTTGTATGACACTGTTAATTATTTGCTCCCTGCTCTGTCATTGAGTCCTAATGCATTACTTGTCACGCAGTGATTTTGTTGATATATTCGATGTCGATTGGTTCATCTCCTACCTTGCTAAAGATGTCACAATTGTCAAAAGAGTTCCAGATAAAGTTATGCGATCAATGGATAAGCCTCCATATACAATGCGCGTACCCAGAAAGTCCCCACCCGAATATTATATGGATCAAGTTTTACCTATATTATTGAGGAGACAAGTAAGCGAACTCCTTGACTGTTGACATGATAGTTTTTATAGTAGTTTTAGCTTTTGCTATTCATGCCAATGACGTCTCGAGCAATCGTGGATATGTTTGCAGGTTGTGCAGTTGACGAAGTTTGATTATAGGCTTGGCTATGAGCTTGATGAAGAATTGCAGAAGTTGCGGTGCCGTGTTAACTATCATGCTCTGAGATTCACAAAGCCAATACGTGAAGTTGGCCAAAAGATTGTTATGAAAATGAAAACAATGGCTACACGCTTCATTGCTATTCACTTGAGGTTTGTTTGTGGGATCTCTTGGCATGTCTAAGAATTTCTGTTATAAATTGTTGTTTGTCTAGTTTCCAAGCATTACATGAATCTCTATCGCTTAAATTGCAGAATAGACTCTGTTAGCCTGGCATTAAACAATTATTTGTTTAGAGTTTTGGATCTTTGACATGATAAGCTACCTTAATCAGTTGCTGATGGCGAGAATTCATTATCGTTAAATTTGACAACCATTTCTATTTCTGGAATTTTGACCTGAGTTGCTCTACTAGGGTCATTCCAACTTTAGAAGTAGGATAGTATTGCAGATCTTTTCACCATTTGTGAAGTGTCAACTTACCTAATATGCCAACATCATATGAGGTGGTGTGTAACAGTTTTTTTTCAACTTTGTTATTACTTCCTTATTATGCTATGTTGAAATGCCAATGCAATTGATATTTGAATGGATAACATGCATAATTAATCGTTGTACTTCTGTAAGCGCTCAATGATGGTTACCTAACCACTTTTGTTTACAGATTTGAACCAGATATGCTTGCCTTTTCTGGATGCTACTTTGGGGGTGGTGACAAAGAAAGATTTGAGCTGAGTCAAATAAGAAAAAGATGGGACACATTGCCAGTAAGATGGCTGTAACTTAAAACTTAAAATTTCTTTTATCAGATTAGTTGTCAGTACATGTGATCTGCGTGTAGTTTGAAGATCATATTATACATTTTCATTAGACAATCTGATATAAGCATGACTACATGGGTGATGGATGTTCTGATTTGTTAGCAATGGTACTTTCAAATGATTCAGGATCTAAGTCCCGAAGACGAGAGGGCAAGAGGGAAATGCCCACTCACTCCTCATGAAGTAGGATTGATGCTTCGTGCCTTGGGTTTTGCTAATGACACGTACCTCTATGTCGCATCTGGCGAAATATATGGAGGAGAAGAAACTCTGCGACCCCTTAAAGAACTGTTCCCGAATTTTTACACCAAGGAGATGCTTGCTGACCAAGAGCTGAAACCTTTACTTCCTTACTCTTCCCGCTTGGCTGCTGTGGACTACATTGTCTGTGATGAGAGTGATGTCTTTGTCACAAACAACAATGGAAACATGGCTAAGATTCTTGCTGGACGAAGGTAAGTAATTCACTCAGTTTGTTATCTAATATACTTATCGTGAATATTCTAATTCCAGTAACACATACTTCTCAACGATCTGAATCACAGGAGGTACGCAGGACACAAGAGAACAATTCGGCCGAACGCTAAAAGGCTGAGTGCATTGTTCCTGAAAAGACAGAAAATGGACTGGGAAACGTTCTCCAAAAAGGTAAAATCATGCCAGAGAGGGTTCATGGGCGAACCAGATGATGCAAAACCTAGCAAGAGTGAGTTTCACGAACACCCTGCTTCGTGTATCTGCGAGAAGCCATTCACCGAGGACGGTAACTTCAAGGAAGAACCCGCTTACTCACAGAACCGGTCGTCTCTCAACCCGAACGCTCGACGACAGCAATAAAGAGGATTTGTCTTCAGGAGAGGCTAAGAATGACGTTGAAGGAAAAGCTGATGCTAAGGAAATGCAACAGCAGAAGTAGTAAGCCATTTTTTTGCTGAGAGACTTGAGATTCACTCATTCCGAGTACAGACAACTGTGCATACCAGTGAGAACTCTCATTCGCATCGCCATGATCGAGAAGCAGCCTGCTGAGAACACTCTGGTTGTGTCTTCTTCTTCTGGTGCTTAGCTTCTGTAGGCAGATTGTGGACGGATGAGTGGTTGTACAGGAGAAGACTTTTGGTGAGTTGCAACTGTTCATAAATTAGTTTTTGGTAGGTAAAATGGTGTGATGCTCGCTACAAAGATTGACGTGGGTGCTTACTTTTATTCTATTTCGGAAGTAAAGGATGAGCTAGTCGCTGCATGGTAAACACAACGAGAAATCCATGGTTTATAGCAAACAATTCAACCTTATTAGATATACGTATTTCGAGGTAAAATGAAAGAGTTTCTGTAATCTTTTGAAGAGTCACAATAGTGTGTCGAAAAACAAAATCGTGCGGGTCAAGCACAAAGCATATAATATTGTCAAGAAAAGATTGAGATGGTATCGGTGGAATTAGAGTCTCTCCGCGTCTTCCTCAAACTACTGTGGGCAAACCTCAACGAAGACGTCTAGTCCAAAATGAAGGGTGTAATGTAACATGCTAAGCAAATATCACGTCTACAAAACCGTGTGGGGTTAGACTTACAACGAAAAATATCTTTATCAGAAAAGGGTTGAGATGTTACAAGTGTTGACATAGTCTCTCTGTGTCCCTCTTGAATGATTGCGGGGTAAAGTTCAACAAGGACGTTGAACCCAAAGGATGGGTGTAATGTAAAATCCAAATGTGGCATCTAAAAAGCATGAGAGATATCTATAGTTTATAAAGAAATATCCAACCTTCTTGCAAAAATTTTGAAGCTAAATATGCTTAGTATGAAACAGTGAAAAGCAAGAACTGTAAAGCCGTATCAGAGGTTATACCAGAAAAGTTAGCGATAAGATACTTTGTATTGAAACCAAAAATCAACCCTGGTTCAAACATTTTATCCTGATAAAAATTGCCTACTAATTTAGCCTAATTAGGAGATTTTCTTATCAAACCATAAAGTTTACACACTAGAGCAAAGATGGGGTGACATTTCAAAAGAGTCATTGTGCTTCCAAAAGTACATCCGTTACCATGAATAGCGCAAAACATAGTCACACCCACTATATAAGCAATTACGGTGGGAGAGATTAAAGAGCGGATGAAAGGAGAAAATTGGGCTATATATTCTGGATGGGTAAATGTCACATTTGGTTACGAGATTACTAACTTGTATCATGTTTAGTTACTAGAAAAATTTAATATCCATTTTGGTCCCTCGAATTATTGAAACAGGTCACATTTAGTCTCTCTCCCGTTAACCTCCGTCCAACTCCGGTCACTCGAATTACTGAAACATGTCACATTTAGTCACCCGAATGACTAAAACATGTCACATTTAGTCACTTCCTCGTTAGTTTCCGTCCAACTGTTAATGGAGTTGGACGGAAATTAACGTGAAAATGACTACATTTGACCTATTTCAGTAATTCGAGTGACCAAAATTAATATTAAATTTTATAATGACTAAACATAACACAATTTAGTAATCTCAGTGACCAAATGTGGCATTTACCTATTCTGGACAGATCCGTTTCTAGTTGCATTTTGTATGCTTAAAATCAACCATATCCATTGTTTAACCCAACTTAGCCGTTGGTGGGCCGCAGAATAGTTTTTAAGGTAGAAGCCTTGAGCAATATACCCCAAAAGCCCGAGCTTGTAATACTACACGGACAGTTCCCATATACAAGACTAAGAGCCCTATTAACGGACGCAACAACAGCAGACTAAATCTAGTCAAATCGTTAATCAGAGATATATGAACATCCTAACTTCACACTCCCAGCACTAAGTATCTTCACAAGTTACTAAACCAAGGGAGAGCAAGAATTCTCCCCCAAATTCACTACCCTAAAATCACCCCTTCTGATAAGCTAAATTTCTCTTCATTTCCAACTTCCTTTTCTTCATTTCCAACTCCCCCCGTTTTGCTTCAGCCGAGTCTCCATCTTCCCAAAAAGTCGAACTACCAATAGCGGTTTTATTTCCACTCTACTCCCACTGCAAGAGCGCCCCAAACCCTTCAACCATTGGTATTCCCTGCACTCAACCATATCGATTCCAGTAAGTTTGAGAGCTTATGAATCTCAAAGCTGAGTAAGGTTAGCAGCTTTACCTCTAGCGGCTGGCCTACTTTTGTGGCTCTTATCGTGCGAGACAGAGGGTATTTTCGAGACCATCAGTGAGCTTTGCAGCCCTTCCAGTAGCTGCAGGCACAATAAAATGGGATCATAAGAGGAAAGTTTCCAGAAGTTAGTTCGTCATTTGTAGCGTGGAATGTAAAGATGGAAAATTTTGTTCAAGAAAGCAATCAAGTGCTTCTTACTCTTGATGTTGGCTGAATTCGTCGGTTGGACCTACGAGGAGCCTCAGCACCGGAGGTTTCTCCTGCTGAACTAGCACCTGCGGAAGCTTTTCTCTCCTCCACCCTGCCCAACTTACCCACACCTGTGCTAAATTTCCCTTTACTTCCCCTTTCACCTCTAGCATTTACTGTTGAGGGTTTCTTAGTCGGAACAGCGTCCGGTTGTCGGACAGAAGAAAACACGACAGGAGCCCTTGGCGTCCCCTCGGAGCTAGAAAAGGCTCGGAAATCAATGGAACTCTGTTTTCCAGTTCCACTCGAACCTCCTCCACTCCCAGAAGCATTCTTTGTCTTCGCATTAAGATCTGTAAATGCGGCAACAGTAGTATCACCAGAAGTAGTCGAGCCTTGGGCTTGGGCATGACCACTAGTTTTACCAGGCAGCTTGGGAACCCTGGGCTTGGGGATGGCCGATCTTTTCACAGTGGTGTCAGTTCTCGAAGTAGTACCACCTCTCCATCGGGGAAATTTCGACGATGGGTCATTAGTTTCATCAGTTGTTTTATGACCACGAGCTCCTCCAACATAATGCTTGCTCACTTCCATGAACTTCCTCTTCTTTCCTGGCTTAGGCACACCAAACACAACATTCGACCCTTCTGCCTGCAAACCGGTTCGAGCCATTCTACTAGCGACTCCAGTGCTCTTGCCCATGTTGAATATCTTTTGTTCAGAAGCCAAATCCAGCAATGTTGGCTCAGCAGGTTCTTTGTCAACGTTTGCGTTCTTGGGTACTTTGTCCTTGTCTTTTGAGTCTGCTACAGGGTTCCATATTCTTGGTCGCTTCTCTTGTGGCGTATCTCCCTGCAAGATAGAGTTAGTTAATTTTGTAGACTAGCTACAAAAAAAAGTGGTAACTGAAAAAGGAGTAAGTAGAGTGAACCAGTACCAGATGGGAAGGGACATTCTTCTCACTTGAATTGGACCATTCGATCCACTGCCCATCACTCCATAGAAGAGATGTCCGAAGATGCCATGCTTTTACTACTGATGTTTCTCCTTGTACTGCAGCCAAGAGCAGAGCAGGTATTATTAATGAACAACATTTTTACCGTGACTAAGAGTAAATGACAATCTGGGTAAGTATTCAAGACATCCATACCTGGGAAATACACTGTTAACGTAGTGTCATCTTTCTTGTTCTTTTCCGTGACAACCCCTTCCCACCAACTGAAAGGGCATCAATGAACAAATTCAACATTAGAATCATTAAACAGATAAAATAGTTCTCACTCGACAATTCATTAGTTCAAGAACCAAAAATATTAACAGGAGTACTAGCAGATTGACAAGAAATGGATCTAAGAGCCGATTAAGTTTGTTCCTTATTCACGATTGACACAATCAAAATTCAAACAACACTAATGAAGCTTTTGCAAAGCCTGACTTACGATGCTTATAAAAAAGCATCAGGCTAACATGGTGCACAATTACCTTTCTCGTATCCATGCATCCACCCTGTCACCAACTGACCAGTTATAGTCATTTATGGCAGCTCTACGCCTCTTTCTAGTTCCTTCAAATGGCATTACAGTAAGAGGACGAGAGATGCGTATTTTTGGTGCCTCAGCTCCTTCACCACGAAGGGCTACCCACTCCTTCAGTTTCTCTGATCCTGTCACAAAGGAACTCTTGACGGATGAAGCAAGAGTGATAGACATAGAATAAAAACATGTATAATCTTGCCCAGCAAGAGTCATATTTGTACTCAATTTTTTTATTTTACCAATTTGCTCTTCATAACCTAATCCCTTTCTTGCTTGGTCAGTGTGTGTGTATGCTTGGTCAACTTGCATATGTTATTGATATGTACGGAGTTTTATACGTCGTTTTAACATAAGAGTGTGTTGAAAAGATTCATGGGAGTTATAAAATATTAAAATGTATTTGCTATAGGTGTTTCATATGGGAACCATAAACAAATGGAAAAAAAAAATTACACGACTCAACAATAATAGGTGAACCAAATTTTAAACGCATTTAGTACATAGATGTGCATTATACGGGTATTAAACGAATTCTTGATAACTATGGTGGTCAAGACATATTGAGACTTAATACTGTTGAGCATAGTTAAGGTGGAAAGTGACAAAAAGTTAGACAAAAAAGGAAAGGGTAGTTCGGGAATTACAAAAAAGAAATGAGAACATAAGCGGAACGAAAAAAGACAATAACCTGTTATTTGGAAATAACCAACCTCCCCTAGTATTTGTCAAATAACAGGAACCTAATACTGCATCCTTTTTTTCCAACCAAACGTGTTACTTGATACCAAACACCACGTCCAAATGACCTCCTGGTTTCTAATTGACTAGGTGTACTAGGGTCATTCTGAATTTGAAGTCCTAAATCCTAATATGCAATTAGCTTGCAAGAAGAGTAAGACAGCGAGATAATTTATTTACAGTAATCCACTTTGAAGTGATAAAAAACAAATGCAACTTGTTCAAAAAGGCATAACATCGTTGAAGAAAATGACTTACCTTCCCCTAATGTAAGTTCGTCATAACTCACATAAGCCATTTCATCCCTCAAGTTTAAAACTTTTGCTGAGAACCAGGCAGCTTTAAATCCATTACCATCCCTCAAGATCTGCAAAAGCAGCAGCAGATAATTACTCAATACAACGTCAGGTGGAAGCAGTTGAAGGTGAATTATTAAAAATCAAAGTCATATGAAGTCAACAAAAGCAATTATAACTTCGTCCAACCTCTACAAAGGACCCCTCCTTGATGCCACTTCCTTCTGAACTGCCAACTTCTACATGTTCGTTTTCAGTATTGGTAGGAGATTTAGGTCTACTTCCATCTTGCAAAACCACTTCCAAGGTTCTAGCTATCTCGGAAGGTTTGTGAGCTTGGAGTCCCTTGGCATCCTTTATACCAGTAGCAACATGTGAGTTATCTACCAAGTTTACATGGTCGTCACTAGAGATCTCTCTTGGGGCAATTGATGCTTTCTCATGGCTAACAGAAGCATCACGAATTTCTCCACCACGGTCACCACTCAAATTTTGAGCATGGATCTCATTTGATTTAGCAACAAGTTGTGGAGAAACTTCGGAAACTTTCCAGAAACCCTCAGGACCTGCAGCTACTAGCTCACTCAACGGCAAAGGATCACCCATATCTATAATTTTGCCAGCCTGAGAAACAGCTTCCGCAGCCAACTCTGCAGCTCTGATAATGGCATCCATATTCTCAGCCCGTTTTGATGCAGCAGATGCCGCTTCAACCCTCTTTCTAGCAGTCTCCCTTGCAGCAGAAATGACTGAACTGGAGCTACTTGTTCCATTGTCACGCTTCAATATGGATGCTGGAGTTGCATTTCCCGTGTCATTAGAGAAAGAGATTAAAGAGCTCTGACCATTATAAATCCCAGAAGCAGCAGCCTCATCTGCCATTAGCTTAGCTTGCAATGCAGCATTTGCTGCAACATTTGCAGCCGCAGCTGCAGCTTTCGCAACAGCCGCGGCAGCAGCTATTGCAACAGCTGCAGAAGCCAGCTTTGCTTCCACATCAGATGACAAGCTTGCATCTCTTTGCTTATCTAATTGACTCCATACTAGTTGGCTTTGACCAACAGCAGTAGCAGCAAAGGCAGCAGCATCCTCTGCATGTGATCTAGCCTCTTTCACTTTACCAAGGGCCTCATCCGAGGAATTAGCCCTCTGCACCCTTGTCGGATCTTCTTTTCTAAAATTTGTAGTCAAAGGGGATGGAAATGCTGCCATTTCTGCAGGGGCTTTAGACACAAAGCTAGCTGGGGTTATGATGGAAACAGATGTAGACAGATGACTGGAAACTGCAGCACCAGGAACAATTTCTCGTGGAGGTTCCGGATTTAAACCTCTATCCACAATGTTCTCGGGCGCCAATGACTTCTTCCTTCTTCTAGGCTTTGGAGCAGTAGACTGCTGACCCGATGATATTATTGCCTTACCAACATCAGGCATGGAAGTACTAGGCAACACATTACCTGAAGAAGCAGCATGAGACACTAGAGTAGAAACATGCTTTACCACAGATGTATGGGACACAAATGAATCTTTTGCAGGAGTTAAGTGAACAGGCTCGGTATGAGCCATCTGTACAGGGAAACGACTACCAGTCTCGACTGCAGATGTTTGAGGAGAAGTGATCCATGCACCAAACGGGCCCTGGGAGATCCAAGAAGGGCTATGTGCCACCAAATTCTTCATGGCCGGGGTCTGATGAGGATGTAATGGAGAAAGTGCCCTCTGGAATTCCAGAACAGGAGCCCTAGCTGTGCTACTTGATTGCAAGTGATCAATGGAAGGAGTTGGCATGTTCCAAATTGGGGATGAAAGAGGTAGCATTGGGGTTGGAATAGTTGAGGCAGTTGCTTTACTGCTGGATCTACTACCAGTGGCCTTACCTTTACGTGTGCTTTGCTTACTGGTCTGTTCAGGAGCTATCACACCTGCAGTTTTAGAAAAAGATTAATTCAGATTCTCAATGAGAATGAAAGGAACAATATGTGTATATAAGTTCCAAGGCAACAAAGGTACCAGAGTGAGACTGCACAGGGGTCTCAGGGGTACTAAGATGAGATCTTTGAGTATTAAGTCTTTCAACATACAAGCGCCAGTTTTTCTCCCATGCACTCTTACCACCATCTGCAACCATAAAACCCTAGAAAACTCATTCACTTCTATCTCGGGGGAATATGTGAAGGCAAAGCTTCTCAATGGGAAAACTAACCAGCTCCTCCAAATGCAGATATCATGTATGCCTCCTCCGGAGCTGTTCCTTGACTGCATCAACATTTGCAAGGATAACACAAGGTTAGTCACCTAATTCAGTTAATTATTTTGTTTTAATTCCATCCGGGTTTCTCCATTTTATTCAATTTGGTAGGGTTATTATCTGTTAACATGCAGAAAAAGCTGCAGAATGTGTCGATTTATAAGAAAGAAGCCTAGAATTTTCACTGTTTGTAACGAAATATCAGAGAAGTACTCACATCAAAGATCCATATACGAAGATTTGAGCACGCAATTGAACTTGTTGCGTATCTGTGAATGGTTGCTGAAACAGCGTGGTAGTGGCTGAAGAATTCAGATCTGGCAGACCAGGTATTGATGTCCCAACAAATGGTTTAACACCACTGCTATCTATATGCCCAAAAAGCTGCATCTCATTGGAGTATACATTATGACCAAGTCCAGGCGAACCCGGAGGAATATTTGCATTGTTACCCCTTTCCACTTTCGCAGGTGTCGTCACCTTTGTGGTCCTTCCCCTTTTAGCAGATTCTTTACCAGTCGCCCTACTTCTCCTTGGCTTACGCTCAGAATTTACTTTTGGGGCACTTTGTCGAACAGTTATGTCAGAAACCTTAGGACTCTGATGAGAGAGATCTTGCACAACCTTGGCATCTAATTGGACTAAACCAGAAGTAGAGGGAGACCCATCCATAGACTTATAAAATCAAGAAGAAGAAAAAAAACAAATGAGAAGACTTAGATCAGAGGTCAACGAAAATAAGATACTACGGAAACGAATCATATAAGAACTTCAGAAAAATGACAATATCATAACACGCATAAAAATGAAAACTGCAGAATTAAGACGGCCCAAAAGGATACTTTACCGTGGGTACTTTGCTGGTGTCCACGGTCTTCACGTCCGGCAATTTCTTAGCAATTTCTGTTTGCGGGGACCCAGTAAATGAAGGAACCTGGATAGGCTTACAGAATCAAGAATAAAACAAAGGAAGATCAGTGGTATCAGAAAACTGATGTACTACTATGGAATGACTAACCAAAAGAAGTACAGAGAGAGCATATGACAATTAGAGGGGGGGAACTCATCCAAATGAAAAATTCAGTATTAAGGTCTCAAAAGAATGCTGTACCATGGATGCTTTGTTAATCTCTACTGTCTGCACAACCTGCATTTTCTTGGCATTTTCCGTTTGGGGCGACTCGGTAAATGAAGGAACCTGGAAAGTGAAGCTCCCGTCATCTTTCGAGGGAACATCCATTTTGGACCTCTTAGGGGAAGACCTGTTGGCATCGCTTGACGGAGCTGGAGTGCACGGATGTGAAGATCTTTTAGTCTCCTCCCTTTGGTGTTGTACCTCAGGCAGTGGGGTAGTCGCTATTGTAGGCGAAGGAACAGGCTGCTTCTCAGGATCAGCAGAAGTTGCCAATTCTATGCAGAAAACAACTTTATCAGATCTTCATGATACATTCCCGTTTTCATAAGCAACACCCAACATTCTCAGTTAAAACAAAGGAAAAATTCTACCAGTGACTAAACCTTACCATTTTTACTTGCAACTGCATCCGGTTTGTCATTCAAGCCTGTGGATAGCACAGCTTTGTCCTCTCTGTAGCCTTGTTGAGTAGCATTTTGGCTAGAGTCATTATTATCTGAAAGTCCAACTTTATCCATTGATTCTGCATCAAGGAACATAATATGTAAGTGAAAACTCACACCAATGCACATCACTGCACACATATCACAAGAATGTATCACTAACTATAACCTGGTGCTTCTAACAATGTCTTCTCCTCAGCTTCTCTAATAATTGAAGTATCATTGTCCTTGTTTGCAGACATATGATGATCAGAACATTCTTCTATCGCCTTTGTACACTCTCGAGCATCTTCATTCATTGGAACTGCTTCAGATTCAACCTGACCTTCATGAGTACAGTGGCCGATTATTGGTAGAGACTCATCAGTAGGTGCACTTAACATTTTTTCAGATGCATCAGCAGAAACCATCTCCGATTCGGTGAGAGGATTTACAGCTGCTGTCCCTTCAGATGTCCTCAGTTCTGAGTTCGAAATCTCCTTTTCAGCTTCTTCGGCTGTTAGGACAGATTCCAGGCCTGGTAATGAGGACACCTCACTGTTACTGGGATCAGCACTCCCCGCTGTAGTTTATGACACATTATCAGCTTCAGAAGAAGCACAAAGCTCAGAGAAGAGGGTAAACAGAGAAAGAAAAACAGAGAAAAAGAAAGAAAAAAAGAGAGGGGAGCAGGGTGGGGTAGCAGAATATGACATCCTTATAAGGAGAAGGGCTAGTCTCGTACCTATTTCATTGCCACCAGCCGCATCAACCAAGGATTCGATACCTAAGGCCTCACCTTCTATGCCCAAAACAGGAAGTGATCCGATATCTCTATCAGTTGTTGGAGAACCATGAACCTCATTGTTTACAGCAACACCATTAGAAGTATGCTCTGAACTTGTATTTAGCTGAAAAGGAGTGTCTAGTAAGAATCTCTTGTCTTCATCATTTTGCGGCACCATAACTCTCTCATGTCCTTGCGGAGTTTCAGCTGCTGATGATGATGGAGTACCTTCACTAGCTTTTGCAGCAACAAAATCAGAATCATCACTACCATGGGCAGAGGGGACGTTACATCTTTCAGTTCTATCAGCAGAAGTATCATTCTCCTCAGATATCAAGTGTTCCTCAGAGCTTGTAACAAAGCTATCTGTCTGCAACTGGGGAACACTGTTGCTTCCATTCCTGGTCTCAGTTGTCCTGCCATCCAAACTTACTAAGGATATACTTTCACTTCCCCGAGAAACATCAGTAGCATTTATGTTTTCAGACAAGCCAACATCCTTCCTCGATATACAAGATCCTTCCATGTTGCTTATGCTATTGCCACTTACATTTGCCTCACTTTCATATTCTGCAGGGGTGGAGCAGGCAGGATTCTGTAACTGTTCACTGCCAGCTTCAATGACAGTAGCATCAGAAATGTCTTGGGTTTGACCAATTGCGTCCCCTTCACACAATGCACCTGTTTCCTCTATTGGGTCACCAACATCCATTGCAGCCATATTTTTAATACCATCACTTGAATCTGTAATACGATTCAGGACATCCTCGTCTTCTTCCCTAATCACAGTTCCTGTATCCACCATATCGATTTGCATTCCTGAAGCATCACTTTCTTGTGTCCTTATAGCTAAAGATTCATAGACCACAGTATTGACTGCATTTTGACCAACACTATCACATCTACTGTCAATGAATGTGCTCTCAACAGTAACAGACAATCCGCCCCCTGGAGTGATACCAGTAAAATCACCTAAACCAATATCAACAGAGTTCCCACCTTCATGACCGCATGAAACATCCTGGGCCAGAGGCAGCTGGCCCCCAACATCACCAGGTGATCCAGAGAATCCCTCATCAATGTCACAAGGCACCAACATTGGCTTTACATCTGCAAAATCTACTGTTCTATTTGATAAATTACTATCCTGATTCAAGTTAGGTTCCATTTGGCTAATCATGCAACCCTGCTCATCACATGCATTGGACTTCTTAGCAATAACTTGTAGAGGAACACTTTCTTCCTGGACTACAGATCTTAATAGCATCTCAACAGATTCTGAGGAAGTGGCCTCAGACCAAACATTGTTCTGTCTTGAAATGCAGCAAGACTCTGCTGCACTTGAAGTGAATTGTATAGTGGGGCTTCCTCGTGAATAATCTTCAATCCACTGACTGTCTTCGTTGCTTTCAATGCCAAGGAAAACCTCGGTTTCTACTAGATTATCAAACCTTAATGGCCCATGCAGATTGTCATCAAATTCAAACTTAGGAAGAGCATATGGACGTAATACTGGAGGAAACTTGTTGCTCCCTTCACCAGCTAAATGACGATTCTGGCTTTGAAAATCATTGTCATCATAATCCATGGGTATATCCCTAATTATGATAATAGCAAGGAGTAAGTTCTAGGTGGTGCAGAATTACATATCAAAGTCGCACGCATAGCACAGCAGGAACAGACTAGGGCACACATAATCTTTCAGAGTCAGGAATAGAGATTATAATTTATAACACAATCTAATTTAAAGCTTATGAGAATTTCCCGATCCCCGTCTGTGCACCTATAGCACAGAAAAAAGTACCAATCTGTTCCCTGCCATTTCCTACCTTTTCTGCTACCATCCTACTTAACTAAATTTGAGATCTTATAAACCTTATCAGTAACATAACTTTCCAACGTCAGTTCATCAAATGCAGCAGGATATGATAGGAAAGGGCTGGCCAAAAAAGAAACAGGCATAACATGTGCGAAGTTACAGCTTATAATTGCATTCATGAGGCTAGCTACAATTGTTGCTGACGAAATTGCTTGCTACTAAGTTGCAAGGGCATACAAACTACTGAAACTAAATTAGTTCCTCCATAGCACTAAATGCGAGACAGAAGAGCAGAATACTAACACTCGTCAACAGATAAAAGAAATGCCCAGCAGAAGCCGAATCCAAATCGAAGCACCGATGCAACAAACACTACTTCGTAACCCTGGTTCACTCCTAGAGAAACATTCAGTCACTAAGCCTGTTATCACAACCTATTTGCGCAACTAGCATGAAAACTTAACCAAGCTCCTAAGAGCCATAACCATTTCGAAAGGGCTCGGACTCCAAAAGGACGACCCCCTACCCTAACTTCAAACTTCGAATTTACGAGTAAAGGAAAGGTGGGAAATGAAGGAGTACCAGCAGCAGAACAAGTAAGTGTAGAGAGGCTACCTCCCTCCATTCGGAGACGAAATCCCAGGCCTCAAGTGTTCCCCAGTCGTACGTTCATCTAAACCTTCCAACCAAGACCGGCAACCGGAGAGAGCCACACCGCCACCAGGATTATTAGCCTTTCTGGTAATCGAAAAAGGTAGGGAGGGAAGACCTAATCGAGCAGAAAAAAGATAGTATGGTACTGAAGACGAAAACTAGTCGTCCGCCGAAAGCTGTAAAACTAGAGTGTCGAATTGGTGCGGAAGTGGAGGATCGAGTTAGGGTTCCGGCGAACCGAACGACGCGCAGGTCAAGAAGGTCAGAAAGCAAAGCAAGAAAACGACAGAGGAAAAATAGGGAGCGAGTTTGTGAGAGAAGGAGAAAGAAAAAAAGAAATTAATGTGTCCTTTTTGTTCTATGTCAGTAGCTAGCGCCCATCTTCGTTTTCTTTTTTCTCTTCGCTTCCTACCTTTTCACACGTTTATCGGTTTTATGGGAGTTCAAACTTCAAAGTTCAAATAATTCAAATTCCATCTAACCATAACAATCAGATGAATGCCACATTTGGTCATTGAAATTATCAAATTATGTCATATTTAGTTATTAGAAAAAATTAATATCAATTTTGGTCACTTGAATTACTAAAATATGTCACATTTAGTTACTCTCCTGTTAGTTTCTGTCCAACTTCATTAACGGAGTTGGACGGAGGCTAACGGGAGAGTGACTAAATGTGACATGTTTCAGTAATTCGAGTGACATTCATAAAAAAAAGTATTTCGAGTTACCGGAGTTGGACGGAGGCTAACGGGAGAATGACTAAATGTGACTTGTTTTAATAATTTGAGTGACCAAAATTGATATTAATTTTTCTAGTGACTAAACATAACATGATTTAGTAATTCCAGTGACCAAATGTGGCATTTACTCCAACATTGCCTGAACAAACAATTTCAAGGATTTATTATTTTGTTATGTTGTTTTTTTTTTTAACATAGACATCCATAAAGGTAGTAGTCACGAGTCATACAAAGTACAAAAGTAAACCAGGTAGTACGACTGTTGTCGAACTACCTATGAGAGGGTCGTTAGTGCCACAAAAGGGCAGCCCTATAAGTAGCTAAACCTGCAAAATGGACAAACACATAGACTACAAAAGAGCCAAACTTTCACAAACAAAATAATCATGATCTCGAGCAGTCATCTTCTCCATCTCAGGATATTAGTCTTCAAAGATTCAGGCCACCGGTTGACAGATTACTGAGATTGCCACATGTCCCCTTTCGCATTAGCTACGTACCGACCAAGAAGTTCCCTGCACAATGAACAAAAAAAAGCCCAACAAGGCAAGGCGGAAGAGCCGGAGAAGGCCAAGCAGACCCAAGAGTCAAAAGGCCCGTGACTTCTTTGGTGCTCTGCTATAAATCGAGGTAAGATAACAACAAACACAATAAAGATAATCATACATGTTGATAAAGTAAAAATAATGATCAAGTTCCAACGAAACCCACCCCTTACCTTTGGCATATTAGGATAACAACAAAAGCTTTAAATCGCTTACGGTCGTACATGTTGCAGCTGATTAGGACACGTGGCGAGGGAAAGGCCCTTACGCGGTGTATCGGGATGCGGGGGCCGGCACCGCCGCCGACCGGAAGGCTGAAACTACCCCGCCCCACCGCCACCGCCACCGACACAGACTGTCCGGAGAGCCAGAAGGGAGAAGAAACGTCACGGCCGGAATTGCCGATCCCCGCCAACCGCCATCACCCTAGAATCGCCGCCGCCTTCTTTTCTCCTCGCCTGCAATACAGAGGTCACAAAAACTAGAGCACCAGCCAAAAAAATTGAGAATCAATTCCAGAGGCAAGACCCCTCGCTCAATTGTAAGGATACGATTAATCATCCTCAAACCACCGCCTCTACTTCCTGTCTCGATAAGTCTGCAAATATGGCCTTAGCACCTAGAAGGCAATAACAATCGGCTGCGGCGGTTCGCCGACCGAAGGGATCGGAGATCGACATACTACTATAGCCGGACAGCAGAGCAAAAGTCAAAAGACGCAAAGGCAGGGAAGAGCGTAAAGTGATAGGATAAAACGAAAGAGAAGAAGAGATCTGAATCGTGTAAAAAAACAGCGGCAGCGGCAACTTCCCGATCTGTTGCACGTTCTCTAAGCTTCAAGATTTGGGGTCGAGGAATTTCTTCATGACGACTCAGTGAGTTGAAAGAGCAGAATCAGAAGAGCGAGGAAGATAAGGGAAGAGGGGTGGTGGTGAGGAAGAGGAAGGCGATTTTTTTGGGCGGGGGAGTCGGGTTTGGGTTGACCCGGGCGGCGAGGCGAAGAAGGGAGGGGTCGTCTTTGGGGAGCGGGTTTCCTTTTCTCAGTCAGGATCTCTTGTTGTTGTTTCTTTGTTTCTGTTTACTTGGATAACAAGAACTGGAACTTCTCCGTTCCCAAAGCCTTAGTGAATATGTCTGCCGGTTGGGATGCTGTCGGGATCTTCCTGGGCGCAACTTCCTTTGACATCACACGCTCTCTAACAAAATAACAATCCATCTCCACGTGTTTGGTCTGCTCGTGGAAGACTGGATTTGCTGCAATGTGCAGTGCTGCCTGATTGTCGCAGTAGAGCGTTGTGGGTCGTACTTGAGTCACTCCAAGTTCTGCGAGTAGGAATCTAAGCCATAAAACTTCGCTAACCGTGCTCGCCATCTAGGGGTGTGCAATGGTCCGGTCCGTACCGGACCACACCGGACCAAACCATTGTTAAGACCGGACCGGACCAGACCAAGTAAAATGCGGTCCGGTCCTTGGTCCTCATGAATTTTATAATTACTGAAGAAATGGTGGACCGAGCTCATATTTGGACCGGACCGAACCGGACCAAATGGACCAAATGCAAGAATGGTCCGGTCCTTGGTCCTAACATGTCTTTCACTAATGGACCGCGGTTCTCATGAGTTTGGTCCGGACCGAACCGAACCGTTGCACACCCCTATCGCCATCGCCCTGTACTCTGCTTCTGCGGATGATCGAGAGACCACCTTCTATTTCTTCGTCCGCCACGATATTGGTGCGCCACCTAGCTGCACGTAGTAGCCCGTGGTGGACCTGCGAGTTGCCTGGCATCCCGCCCAATCTGCATCGCAGTAGGCAGTGAGCTCGAGCTGTCCTGCAGATGGGGAAAATAGACCTTGTCCCGGCGACTTCTTCAGGTAGCGCAGGACCCTCATAGCCGCTGCTACATGTTCTGGGCTAGGACGATTGACAAATTGTGATAATATATTGACTGCATATGATATGTCGGGACGCGTTATCGTCAAGTACAGGAGACGTCCGACAAGTCGTCTGTAGCTGCTAACATCTTCTGCAATCTCCTCCGTCGGTCTGGTAAGTAAGTGGTTTTGTTCCATGGGAAAATTACTTGGTCGCGCTCCGGTGACTCCTGCATCCTTTAAAATATCCAGAGTGTACTTTCTTTGACTTAGCACAACTCCGTCTGCAGATCTCGCAACTTCTATTCCCAGGAAATATTTCAAGACCCCCAAGTCCTTTATGCTAAACTTCTTGTCGAGGAAGGCCTTGACAGTCGCAATAAAAGCTTCATCCGTTCCTGTCAAAATCACATCATCAATGTAAATTAATGCTGCAACAAAAACATCTCCACGACGGTAAAGGAGGAGGGAATGATCAACCTTGGAAGGCTTGAAACCGAGTTCCGCAAGCGCCTCAGTAAACTTTTGGTACCAATTTCGCGAAGCCTGTCGTAGCCCATATAACGACTTCGTGAGCCGGCATACCCTGGTGTCACCCGGTGCCCCGAATCCCGGTGGCAACTTCATGTAGACTTCTTCTTCTAAATCCCCATGCAAAAACGCATTGTTCACGTCGAGCTGATGCATAACCCACCCTCGATTGACTGCTAGAGCTATGAGGACCCTGACAACCTTGGCAACGGGAGCGAAGATGTCGTGGAAGTCTATTCCTTCCAACTGAGTAAACCCTTTCGCTACCAGCCGTGCCTTGAATCGTTCCACTGACCCATCCGGGTTGTACTTAACCTTGAACACCCACTTTACATCAATTACTCTTTTATTTGCCAGAAGTTGAGTCAGAAACCAGGTTCCGTTCGCCTCGAGAGCCGCTATTTCCTTCCTCATGGCCTCTCTCCATCGAGGGTCCTTCATCGCCTCCAAGAATGATCGAGGCTCTTCAATCTTATTTATGGCTGCTAGGTAAGCCTTGTGTTCCGCGGAGAACCGATGGTAGCTTACTTGGTTTGACATGGGATACTGCACTCCAGAATTCTTTGTTGCATGCCCAGCAAACTCGGTGTCATAGGTCTCTAGCAGCTCCCTAGGTCGACGTCTCTCTCGTGTCCTGCGACGCGGAGCCACCTCGTGATGTTCCTCTAGGTTGTTTCCCACACCGTCCAAGTTACCCTCGTCTTCTTGTTCATTTTCTTGTTCGGTCTCACCCTCCTGTACGTCCACTTCTCCACCTTGTGATATATTCTCATGTGGAACATCCTTATTATGAGTGGGTTGCATGCCTCCATCATCACTAGTCACGTCTGCATGCATGGGTGGGTGAACCACCACTGTTGGAGCTGCCTCGTCATCCTTCCCATCGCACTTGTAAGGGAAGCTCTCTTCGAAAAAATGACAATCACGAGAGGTAATGATTTGGCGGGATTGGAAGTCGTATACTCTATAACCCTTCTGCGAAGCTGGGTATCCCACGAACACACCTCGTCTCCCCCTCTCGACGAACTTGTCGAGGCTGTGGCTCGTTTCCTTTGTATAGACGAGGCAACCAAAGTTGCGGAGATGCCGATATGTCGGAGTTCTCCCTAGTAGGACCTCGAAAGGGGTCTTTCCTCCGATCACCTTCGAAGGCAAACGGTTAATGAGGTAAGTTGCCGTCAGCACACACTCTCCCCAAAACCGTACATGAAGTCCCGAATGAAACCGAAGCGCCCGGGCTGTCCCAAGCAGATGTCGGTGTTTACGTTCTGCTATCTCGTTCTGCTGTGGGGTGTTGACGCACGAGGTCTGAAGAATAATTCTCTGCTTCTCATAATATTCCAACAGACTGTCGGACTGGAACTCGAGTCCGTTATCCGCTTGAATCCTGCGAACCTACCCTATAAACTGTGTCTGAACCATCTGACAGAAAAGACGAATGTACCGCTCTACATCGGATTTAAACTTGAGTAAATACACCCAAGTAGCTCGACTGAAGTCATCCACAATCGTCAAGAAATAACGAGACTCATCCATAGCCGGGGTTCGATAACCACCCCAAATATCCATGTGAACAATCTCAAAACAGGCACGAGTTTTTATCGAATGAGAAACAAAAGGCTTTCTAGTGAGTTTAGCACGAATGCAAGAATCACAATGTTGCGTTCAACTAGTCTGATCCAACAAAGACAAACTGTTCCTCAGAAAATGAAACTTTTCAACGGATGGATGTCCCAACCGTGCGTGCCACAACTCCATGGACTCCTTTCTTGCTGCGCCCACGAAAGCACCAGAGGCATTCACATCTCGCCGCCCCTGTCCCTCCATGTGCTGAAGTAATAGAGCCCATTACGAAGACGACCCATCCCAATCGTAGTCCCGGAGCGTGAGTCCTGGATGAGACACAAATCACCCGCAAAAACCAATTTTACGTGATTATCTTTGGTCAGGCGACTAACTAAAAGCAAGTTGCACTTGAACGTAGGGACATGCAGTACTCGACCCAAGTGAAGATGCTTATTCAAATCAACTGAACCAACTCCCTGCACAGGCACGTTCGTTCCATCCGGGATGAAAACCGGGGGATGGCAACTAGTGCTATCAATCTTACTTAACCAACCAATATCACGCACTATGTTCTCATTACAACCAGAATCGATGAGCCACTCATACAGTTTAGGGGAGTTACCAGCCATGTGCGCGGTTGGTTCTGAGGCAGGTGGCGCGGGCGGAGTCAGGAGTTGCTTTAACTGGGCGAACTGAGCTACGGAGATGCCAGGGATCGGACTTTCTTCGAGTTCGACGTTGGCTGCGCGCGGCTGCTGAGTTTTTCCATCACCTTTGCCTCCTCGACGTGAGGTTTGAGTACCTCCACGTTCACCTTGTTTGTTCCTTCCCTGCTCACCTGGATAACCAATCAACTTATAGCAAGCTTCCTTGAGGTGATCAAGTTTATTACAGTGGCTGCACCTAGGTATTTCCCCAGCCTCCTTGTCTTGTCGACTCAGGAATGCAGCAGCCTCCACGGACGGTCTTCTTCCGCCTGTTATGTGTCGTTGTTGCTCTTCGGAACCCACAAGCTGATACGCCTCTGTCAATGATGGAGTGGGTTTGGCGCTCAAAATCTGTGAGCGGACCATGCCGAATGCTTCGTCGAGCCCTAATAAAAAATCGAACAACCGTTCGGTTTCTTCCTTCTCCCTGACTTGGCGCGCTATGTCACAGGTGAAATTCCCACATGAGCACCGAGGGTTAAGAGAGACCGAGTGAAGCTCGTCCCAATAAGTCACCAGCTTTGTATAGAAAGCTGACACATAGAGTTTTTCTTGTCGTAACGACCCGATCGAACAACGCAGCTCGTAAGCCTGAGTTGCCGAGCCTTTGCCGAACCTTTGCTTGAGATCCGCCCATATTGCGCTCGCCGTTCGTGCGGCCCTGACGCTATTACGAACCTCCTTGCTCATGGCTGTTTTAAGCGAGCCCTTCACCGTGGCATCACATCTTCCCCAAGCCTCGTCCCTAATACCTGGTCCTGCTTTCGAGCGGGGGAAAC